GTCTAATAGAAAACTACGGGTGCATGTGTGCATCATCTTTCTATAACTATTATAAACAGAATCGCGAGGAAGGCATGTATCTAGTTTTTGTCTCTGAGAAAAGGGAGGCCGTAAAATCACCCCCAGAGATAAAAAAAGTCGTCGCTCAATATTCAGACCTTTTTTAGGAGCCCACAAGCGTGGTGGAAAGGGAGGTGGTCCATGCAATAGAGGTTGTCCTATTTAGTAAGGTGCCTAGAGGACGAATCTATAGGATGTGTCCTGCGGAGTTAGATGAGCTTCGTCGCCAGCTTAAAGAGCTAACAGAGAAGGGATGGATACGGCCCAGTACCTCCCCTTACGGTGCGCCAGTCTTATTTGTTCCTAAGAAGGGAGGTCCATTAAGGATGTGCATTGACTATACGGGCCTCAATGCCATCACCGTAAAGAACGCGGAGCCCCTACCCCGCATTGACGACCTCTTGGATAGAGTGCAGGGATGTCGGTACTTCACAAAGATAGATCTGAAGTCTGGATACCATCAAATTGTCGTTAGGCCTGAGGACCAACACAAAACCGCATTTCAGACCAGGTACGGTCTGTACGAGTTTGTGGTGATGCCTTTTGGCCTATGCAATGCGCCTGGTACGTTCCAGCACGCGATGAATAGGATCTTTCATGACTACTTGGAGAAGTTTATCGTCGTGTACCTCGACGATATTCTCATCTTCAGTAGGACTGTAGAGGAGCACGTTGAGCACTTGAAAATAGTGCTAGGTCTCCTAAGACAGCACCAGTACAAGGTAAACTTGGATAAATGCGAGTTTGGTCGCACCAAGATCTTGTACTTGGGTCATGAAATTTCAGCAGATGGATTGAGGCCGGAAGATGCGAAAGTGGCCAGCATACGTGACTGGCCCAGACCTCAAACTGTTACTGAGGTCAGATCATTTTTGGGGATGACGGGCTACTCTCGTCCGTTTGTGAAAAACTATAGTACTATAGCTTCCCCATTGACAGATCTTACTCGACTTGACACCCCTTGGGAGTGGACTGAAGAGTGTGAGGCAAGCTTCAAGCAATTGAAGTATGCTCTAACACACTATGAAGTTCTCAAACTTCCCGATCCTGACAAGCCGTTTGTCGTGACAACAGACGCCAACAAATATGGCATTGGCGCCGTCCTTGCGCAACAGGAGGGGCCAAAGTTGAGACCGATCGAGTATATGAGTAAGAAGATGCCTTCCAAGAAGCTAGCTGCGTCCACTTATGAAAGAGAGCTCTACGCCCTATATAGAGCGCTAGCTCATTGGCGACATTACCTCCTAGGGAGATTTTTCTATGTGAGGTCTGACCATGAGACTATGCGCTGGATTAAGACGCAGTCTGACGCACTCAAGAGATGGATTCAAGTGATAGATATGTATGACTATCAACTTGATCCTATCAAAGGTCCGTACAACAAAGTGGCAGATGCGCTGTCAAAAAGGGCAGACTATCTAGGCGCACTAGTAACTGAATTCGGCATATCTAATGATCTTACTCGATCGCTGGTGGAAGCCTATCAGGGAGATACAGTTATGTCAGAGATCATTCGTAGATTCCAAGCAAAGGACAAGAAGACTTTGGACGAATTTACCATGGTAGATGGCTTGTTGTTCCTTGAAAAGGCAGGGTTTAAAAGACTATGTGTCCCAGATAGTGAGTCTTTGCGTAGTTTATTTTTAGGAGAATGTCATGATGTTGTAGGTCATTTTGGTTATAAGAAGACATCAGCAAACTTAGTACAGAAGTTTTGGTGGCCTTCTATGATGAAGGATGCAAAACTGTATGTYGAGACTTGTCAGGTTTGTCAAAGAGACAAACCCAGGACTCAGGCTCCGCTTGGGCTGATCAAGCCCTTGCCGATCCCTGAAGGTCCAGGTCAGAGTGTCTCCATGGATTTTATGGACACTCTTGTSACCAGCAAAACCGGCAAACGACACATATTCGTCATAGTAGATCGCTTTACTAAGTATGYCARACTTATCGCTATGYCGGAGAYARCAAAGACAGATCACGTCATCAAACTGTTTATGGATAACTGGGTAAGGGATTTCGGTCTACCTACGTCTATCGTAAGTGACAGGGATGTAAGATTTACCAGCGAACTGTGGCAGTCTACAGTTGAACAGATGGGAACCAAACTCCAGATGAAATCAGGGAATCATCCTGAGTCAAATGGACAGGCAGAACAGATGAACCGAGTGGTACAGCATTTGCTGCGGCACTACATCAAGCCAAGTCAGGATGACTGGGACGAGAAGTTACCTCTCGTCGCCAGCCTGTATAATAACGCAGTGCACAGTGCTACCGGAATGACTCCCAACCAACTGCATCTTGGTTGGAAGCCTAGAACTGCCTTGGACTTCTTACTACCGGAAAGAGAATCCACTGCAGCACCTGGCAGCATAGAGTTTGTTGTTAAGTATGAACACATGCTGCAGCAAGCCATAGAGCACATTAGAAAAGCTCAAGATGCAATGATAGCATCTGAGAATAAGCATAGACGGCCTTCTAATTTCCAGGTAGGTGACAGAGTTTGGGTAAAAGCATCTGAACTTGGTCAGGAGCTAGGAATCTCTAGAAAATTGATGCCACAATTCTTCGGTCCGTGGGAGGTCCTACATGTGATAGGAGATCAACTGGATGGGCCATCCTATGTGATTTGCATCCCACCCCATCTACGCACCTACCCTATATTCCATGCTTAAAAGTTGGCACCTTTCGCTGCTACTGAGCAGTTTCCTTCCAGGAGATCAATGCTGCCCCCAACCATGGATGGCGAAGTGGACATCGACCAGATTGTCGAGCATCGAGTGATGCCTRTTCCACGACCATCAGGCAGAGGGCGCCCTCCTAAACCGAGAATGCAGTACCGGGTGAGCTTMAGACATCACCTCGATCCCAAGGAAGATCGCTGGTTTACACGGGAAGAACTCATGAGAACAGCGCCTCAAGTGATTGCAGGCTATGAAAGAGAACGAAAAGGGAAGATGCCTGCAGAATAAGAGACTTCTCAGAGGACTCACGAAGTTAAGGAGGAGGGAATGCGAGGATCAGTGTCCTCGGTAGGCCTACTAGGCCCTGTCTGCAGCCTTACCCGCCCTAAGTGAAGGCGGAGGTGCCCGCCCTAAGTGAAGGCGGAGGTGCCCGCCCTAAGTGAAGGCGGGCCTGGCTTTTTGCAAGAGGCCCTCGACTGTCAATTTCATATTTGGGGTCCAGGCAGTTGCGACGCGCCAGTTGGTTGAAAGAA